CCGACTCATTTTCAGTCAAAAGTCCTGATACCAAAACCAGTGATGGTGGTCAATGTTCAAACTACGAGTTGAAAGTGGAATCGAATGGAAAGAAACAAAAAGAATCCAGTTCAACTGAAGAAGTTAAAGGGACAACCGGATCAGGTGCTTTTGGTATAATTATACTGTTCCTGTTTGTCGGTGCTGCATTGGGATTCACAACTCCTTTTGCTTACGCAAAAGTTAAACAAATGCGTGAAGCTTCAAAGGTCAATATAGATTTCACTTGGAAAAGACAAATAGATGAACAAATTGGAGATATTCATTAAATCTTTTGTTATAAAAAAGTGTTGAATCGTTGATTTATTATAAGGTTGACCAGAAAGTTTTTCTGAAAATTATGCTTATAAATCAATGATCAATTAAAATCAAGTTTAGATGAATACTTTGCAGAGATTTGCATGATGCATAATTAAATTATACACTTTTGAGTTTACAATAATATTCTTCATTGTGAATACTGAATTCAAAGTCCGAAAAAAGTTTGATTTCCTTAGTTATTCTAAATGGACTTCGAAATAGTTTGGATCCTGGATTTACGGACGAAAATCATAAGATTGATAAATGAAAGATAAACTTATTTCGAATCGATAGAATAGTATTCATTATGTCCGAATTACTCGAATTATTTCAGAACTGATTAATATGAAAGATATCTTTCTTATTCTTTCTTTTTGCAGTGAATTATGGTGCAAAAAATGTTAAATATACATAAAAAATCAGATAATGCTTAATGATCCGCCACCTCTGACTGCACTAACACTTACCACTTGTAACCAACATACTGACTGTTATATCTTCAGTCTAAAATAAATCGTGAATTCTCAATCTCAACATTTGTAGCATTTGGCAAATCGGAGACACTAGGAGTAAATTATTGCAAATCGCATACGAATTCAGCATTCATGTAAAATACAGTTAGGTCACATTGTAAAAGTTTTGAGCCAAAATGAAAAATAAACTGGCTCCTTTATTTAGTCTTGGTTAATATGAACTATCAATACTACAGTTTAATTCAACACTTTTGTGATATCGTTAAAAACAGTTTTTCATTTCTTTTCAACTGTCTGAGTTGCAAAACGCCTGAAAACGGCTTTCGGATTTAGTATTTTATATTATATGCAAGGATTTTGGTTATTTGTTCAAATTTTACTTTTATTTGTATTTCTTAATAAGTAGTAATCAGGGAATCATCCATTAAGTTTCCAGATTGATTTTCTAAAATTCATTTATCCATAGTCCTTCAAGTTCAAAAGTTTTATTTTATAATTAGCAAGCTTCAAAGCTGAAAAGATTGGCGAAGCAACCCATAAACGTCATAAACTCACGAACGCTAACGCTTCACAAAAAATTCGCCTGAAAGATATTCCTGGAGACTTAAAATTCGAGCTCATTACTCGCTCAGATTACACGAAGGCCGAAATTTCAGATCAAAATATGAGGTAATCTTGAATATTCTGATAAATGTAAAATCAGAGCCTCAATTTTTTAAAACCAGGGCTTGAATAAGGGCTGTAGCATTAGCTTTTTATTAGATATATTAAAGTACATTAAAGGTATAAGAAATGTTTTTACAGAAAATAATTATTAATGAAATTCTATTGCATAAATTGAATGAATTCAATCGACATTTTCAAGTGGCTGCTCATCCTGATGTCTTTTCCAAGTGAAACCTCCGCTAGCCTTTGAAGCTTCATGTATCTGTTTAACTTTTGAGTAAGCAAATGGAGCTATAAATCCCAATCCAATGCCGACAAACAAGAACAACATTATGATACCAAAAGCACCTGATCCCGATGTCCCTTTAATCACTTTAGTTGAACTGGACTCTTTTCTTTTCTTTCCATTCGATTCTTTTAACTCATAATTGGAACAATGACTTCCATCAGTGGTTTTTGTATCAGGACTTTTGACTGAGAAATGAGTTGATGAACAAGAACTTTCTTTTCTACTCTTAGGACAGTAATTGAACGATTTACATCCAGTTTCATCGCCATCAGATACCTCATAGCATAATGAAGCACATTGGTCTAAAGTTAATTTGGTTTCGGTGTGCATCACATCTGATACTATTTTGTTGCCTGTTCTTTGATATCTTTCAGATACTTTGTCTGAATGGATTACGAAAAAGGAAGAAATACGGTGAATTTGAGACTTGGTACTTGCGGTACTTGTAAGAATACTTACGAGTATATATCATGCATTCCTCATCATATTCAGTAGCTGCATCTGTATACAATAAATCACCAAAACTACAAGCACATCAATAGTCAATTTCTTTAGATAAATTTTTGCTAATCAACATCAATTCAAGACTCATTGGTCAAGGCATTGAATCAATGTTGATTGTGCTTTATTTATCTAAAAAATTGACTATCGGTATGCTTGGATACCAAACAATGCGCCAAAGATATGGTATCGAGGTCTAACTCCATTTTCGCAGCTGTATTAAAGTACATTAAAGGTATTAGAAATGTTTTTACAGAAAATAGATGGGATGCAAAGTTGAAAATCGATGATCAATTCACTCTGTCTGTGCCAGATGTAAAAACTTTTGCTGATTGTTACTGAAACTGTCACGATTCAGATCAAGTTTCGTGCATTACTTTTTCATTTTGCAACACTGGTGGTGTAACTGAGTGTAGAGTAAGCAGCTTGCAGTCTTCGGACATTATAAATCGAGACTTGCATACTGAAAATGACATCCACTGTACATTTTCTCTATGACATTCTCACGATATTCAAAAGCACTCGATAGAAA